AGCTGATCTGTTGCCCTGGCAACAGCTATTTCAGCTCCACCTTCATGTGAACACGGTGCACAGATATCTGAGGGATATCTCAGAGGAAGATTAGGATTTTATTCCGCAAATCAAACCCACATTTCTGTGCCTGTATTCCTGCGTTCCACTGCCAGATGCTCTGCTCAGCAAAATGAGGGAGCTGTAAAAAAAAAAAAAAAAGAGAAAAAGAAGAGCAGCAGCAGCTTGGAAACTCATCTGTTAGTAATGAGGGCTCCCGTCTGCTACTGTGACTCATGCCGGTATACGCCCACAACACTATTACAAGCTTATTTAGTATACGATCATTACTGTGTGTGTGAGACCGTGTGAGGTGAGCTGCACTGAAGTCCTGCGGCCAGATCAAACACTGCCGGAGGAGAAAATACACCTTAATGCAATAAATGCTGCATGAAACATTTTTTAAAATCCAACAAAATTCTCTCCATGAGGGGTTATGTAACGTTATTTCCTACTGGAGGTTGGAGAGGATTTTTAAGAAGTAAATCACTTCCTGATGTTTGTCACAGTCAAATCTATTGTTGCTGTCTAAGATAGGGATCAGTGAACCACTCCCAAACATCATTAAAGGATAAAAGAACTGCAGGCTAATCCGTTACCTCTCTAATTGGGACCAGGCGTGTTTCTCAAGCTGCTTTCTTGTCTGAAGTAAACAATTTGCACTGAAGGTAGAATTAAAACAACAAATGAAACTATTTATTTATTTATTTTTGGTGGAACTTATAGTATTCTGAAAATATTTTCATTTCATTTTGTTCTAAAATGTCAAAAAGCAGAAAGCATAGAGCTGACTGTAGATCTGGTTAAAGTAGTGGGCTATAGGCAGGCACAGCCAATGCCTATAACCATACGGAAATACTCAAAGTTGATGTCTACATTTTTTTGTGAATAAGACTACGGCTGTATTTAAGATAAAACATATTTAAATCACTTTAGAATTGTTTGGATTCTGTGACAGCCTTGTGTCCCAGCTGTACCTGAATGCAGCACGAGAGAATCCTAAAGTATTAACTTATCACCTGGTCTGGTTGGACGCTACAGGCAGTTGGACTTGAACATCAGTTGGTTTTTCTCCAGAAACAGTGGTATTTACATTCAGCCTGACTTGGTTCTGGTTCTGGTTCAGGACTTGGCTTTGGTTCTGGTTCTGGTTCAGAACTTGTCACAGGCAACATAATTTCCAAGTTGGAATAAGATTTAGAGTTTTTATCCAACTAGTTTAACAGGGTTGCATTATAAATGAACATACACTGGTTGTGACTCAGTCCAATTTGTGAGGAAATTCCTCACAAATTATTTACTTGATCTTTTCTGATGTTGTGGGGCTGTATGCTGGGATTTTTCTAGCAGAATTTCTCCAAAGGGAAGCAAATAAAGATTCCACCTGCCCAAAATTAAAAATGACCACAAAACAAAAAAAGGTAAGGCCCAGAGTCTGTGGCAGCCAATTTATGTGTGAAAAGAATTTTTGATTTACTTCGTTCACAGTTTGGCCCTGATTAACCCTTAGTGTTAGAGGTGTGCCGATCGATTGGCCTCTGCTTAAAGCTGCAGCATCTAACTTAGAAATTTCTTTTTACATACGTATTAAAATTTTCGCTGTCATAACATGAGACAAATAATCTCTGAAAAAAATAATCGATCTCCTCCCTGTTCTGCATAATTACTCCGCTCAGTCAGAAACAGCCAATCAGAGCTAGCAGTAATCAGCTAGCCACCATGATATCGGGAAGTTTTCATTCAGTAACTCAGGATTGTTTATTATAATGGAACTTGTATTTGCCTTTGAATGTAAAGTTTTATACTTGAATTTTTTGGCAATGTTGAGAGGTTTTATTTTACTTTTTGCATTATTTAGCCTCTTCAGAGCCTTCATGTTTTCAGTCTGTTAAAGATAGTATTACCGATAGCAGTACAATTTGCACAATGCCTGTTATGTTTTTTTCTTGGAAAAAGTTATTAAAAACAAGTTTTTGTCTAAATTAAGGTGAATTCATGGTTCCTTTTTCCACATAATGTAACCGGTACTGCTCATGATTAAAAAAATAATAATTATGTGATCGGCCGTGATCGGCCCTCATGGGTAATCGGTATCGGTGATCGGCAGGAAAAAACCTGATCGGCACATCTCTACTTAGTGTTGTCATTAATGGAAAAGCCTGGTTATTCTATATATTCAGGTAGTTTTTAAAGAGACAGAGGTCCAATTTTAAGGCGTTAAATTACAAAGTAAAATCTCCTTAAAGTCATATTTGACATTAACAGCAGTAACATAGTTACTTGCAACAAAATGATACTATGTGCCTGGGAAACACATAATACTGGCCCTTTAATAAGTCTTATTCTCAAAGACTAGCAATAGGTCTTTTAAATTGCTGTGGCCCCTTTCTGTCAGAATTGTCTTTATTTAGACACTTTGGAGAATTTTCTAGAATTAATGGACTATTTAATTTCTTAACCCAAACTGACAAGGACACTGCAAAACCTTTTTGTTTTTAGCCATTAGAAAGGTGGACTTGCAAGTAGTGCGTTGGATCACTGGCCTGCTGAGTAACCGTAGTGTTCTTAGAATGTAAGGTCACAAAGTGAAGATAGAACTTTGTAGTTATAGGGCAGACTTCATGGTTCCATCGATTACAATAAATCATCCCGGGTCTGAAGAAGCAAAGCAGACCCAGAATGTCACCCTTCCTCCAGGCTTGTCTGCAGGTGTGAAATCGGGTTAGGTTTTCTTCACTCCTTTACATTTCCTCGTTCGCAATTTCCATCCATCCATCCATTTTCTTTACACCCTTGTCCCAAGTGGGGTCAGGAGGGGTGCTGGTGCCTATCTCCAGCGAATGTTTCAGGCGAGAGGCGGGGTCACCCTGGACAGGTCGCCAGTCTGTCGCAGGGCGGTTCGCAACTTATTTTTTAAAATTTTGTCATTAGAGTACAGAAGCTATATATTGATTTGTGGATCTGTCTTTAATTAGACTTGGGACATTTGACATAAAACTGGAAGCAGAATAAAGTAATTACATGATTAGAACAGAGGTGGGACAAAATAAGTTATACTTCAACTCCTCCCTTGAATATATATAAAAACTTGATATATGTATATGTGTAAATGTATTTTCCCTCTCTCTACAAAACTGTACAAATTGTTAGATATGTAAATGCAGCTAAATTAAAAAATATATATAATGATTTTAATCTAAGACCAGTCTCCCACTTTTGTTTTTCTTGAAACAGAAAAAAACCACTGTGGCTTCTCTTCCCCTGTAGGCTGCCAATAAGGGTTGTAAGAAACACTTCTCACTCATTTTAATACTTTGTGAAGGAGTGGATTTCAAATTGCTTTAGCACAAAGTGTGGTTCATCATCTCTCAGAGTCTTCTGAGGTGTGGTAGAGAGGTGTTTTCCCAGAATCAAGACTCAAAGATGCTGATCAACCAGCAAAATGGCGGCTTTGCGTTGCTGGTGCTACAATCTATCATCTGAATATCTGGGAGGTGATGCACCAGGGTCTGGTTACGCAGATTAAACACACCTGCGCACTTCCTTTATGTATTTTTATACACTCCATACAATAAGAATAACCAATTTGCTATGCGCCAAACTGCCTCGTGTGTCAATGTGATCAGAAGAAGTGGTGACGTCTTCTCAACAGCAGAATAAACCCGACAGAATAAGTGGGATGTATAAATTCAGCGTATTTTCACGCAGGCTGTGTGCGTAAAAACTGACCTGGCTCGTGCGTCCCGGGGTTGTCAGACATCTCAAGCACGAGCAGCTCTCGGCCTTCAAAGCTCTCTCCAATGGTGTAGATGCGGGTAATGGTTGGGCACTGCAGCCACACCGACACCAACGCTTTCCGCAGTTCGTCGTAACGATGGTACTCGAAGGAGATCCCGGGGTCGGTACCGGTACTGGCCGCGGCGGCCAGCGCGAGCGCCGCGGCGGCGAACAGGAAAGAAGAAAAGAGCGGTTTCATTTCGTCTCGTTCTCGTTTCCTCGTTTAACCGTAAGTCAGCCTCGTCTGCCTGCGGCTTGCTCCAGAGTCTTATCGATGCGCAGCCGCTTCGCTCTGGGCTATAAATATCTCTCCCTCTGCCTCCCTCTGCTTCCCTCTGCGCGTGATGCGCTGCTGTACCTGAGAGGAGCGCGAGAGACGTGAAGCCAATACAGAAGTCCCGCACTTCCTGTCACAACTTCCAAAATGAAGGCGTTCATATGACAGCGTTTTAAAATAAAAGGAGTAGATTTCCGCCGAGAAGTCTGAGAAAAACTTTGAAATTTCTGCGTTCGAAAAGTCGCAAATTTGCTAGAAAAAAAGAATCCGAATTTTTTTTAGATTAATCTAAAATATTTCCTACAAAAAATGTGGACATTTATGAGTTTACATAACCTTTTCAATTACATAGCCAATAAAAATGCACGAAATATATGCTTATGCATTCGGTGGACGCTGTTATCAAAAGTGACTCAAATGCAATGCAGTAAATATTTATTTATTTATTTCGAACAGACAAAAGTAAAATCAAGAAAGAAGAAAAAGAAAAGTTAAAACAAGTTATAATGCCCAAGTTCGAAATATCAAATTTAACAAAAAGCTACTTAGATCAGTGTTCTTCAATCATAAAACAATTATTGTAGTTATTAAAAAACATTTTCTTCCGAGAACGTTTTTTTTTTATTCTAGACTTGATTAATGTAAATTGATACATGTAACATGAAATGAAATTGCAACACCTACATGTTCTCTGAATTATTTACTAATATGTTTTGAAAGTATTACCCTACTTCCTGTTTGCGTTAGCTGCTTTTGGATGATTGACTACACTGTGTAGGCCTGTGTGCTGGTTGAAGCTGCAGGGGATATTTGATGGTGCAGAATAGCAAACGTATTCTCTTCAAAAAAGAAAAATATAATATTCAGACCATTATCATGATCAAAAAACACAACTTTAACCAAAATATCCACTTTATGTATTTACAAGCTTTTATTTTAACACAAGTACAGAAGAAACAATACACAGTCAGCGCTTCTTTTACCGTTCAAATTAAAAAAAGGTATTTGATTCTTATATGAAAAAATAGAGTGGGACAACACGGAAGAGACACACGAGCCAATTCCCTTTTTCTACCTAAAATTTACAAGAACTTTTGCATCAAACCCCAATCAGATAGTTTCTGCTGAAGCCTGGGGATTAGCTGGAAGAACTCAACAGCTAAAGGAGGAAGTGCTAAAGTTCTGAAACATTCAGAGGTAAACAGGAGCATTTCACAACAGTGACACGGTGCAACGTCTTCACATTTCATCTATTGAAAAGCAAAGAGCAAAATGAGGATGTTGATGTTTTCTTTATTCAGCCTGCAGCTGGTGACAGAGATAGCATGATTATTAAGGCACAGGAGGCAAACTGAAGCCAGCTCTCAGTCTGATTCGGATTCACAACACAACCGAGCAGGGTTTTGTTTTTCTCCACACCCCTTCCCTGGATGTTTCATTCAGTGAGCAGAGAGGACCAACAGTCCTCTCTGGACAGAGTCCGCTTTACTGCTCCTTCTTCCCTCCTTGTTTCTCCAGGTACTTGTTGTACTGGTTGTCGGTGTTCAGGAGCTTGTCCCACCAGGTGAAGGTGGAGGCGTAGTTCCCCACAAAGTTCATGTGGTGGAAGTCATGGAAACGGGCGCCAGCGTAGAAAGGGATGAGGTGGAGCGGGTTCAGTGGGATGTCGTAGCCACTGTGATGAGACATGACAGAGGGGATGAAGGTCAGTCACATTTAGAGAGAGAGAGCAGAGGAGAAGGACTCCTCTCTTAAAACAGGAAGAGGTAATCTAGTTGTGACACAGCAGAAATGATGGCTGTGGTTTGCTACTTGTTGGTTTCTTAAAAACACATTCAGTCACAATCGTCATTTCAACAAAGAAGACATCTAATCTTTTCTTTTGTTTCCAATTATTATTAAAGTATTACTGCCGTTTAATGCAAATAACTACACCAGTATGTTAGAATAATAGGCTACAGCATTTTTCTAATTTGGTAAGAAAACTTTTGTCTGATCTACAAATCAATTCAGTCCTGCTGAACAAAGGACGATTTATGTGTTACTACTTTACTTACTTTAACTACTAGATAATTTTTTGTTTGTTTCAGGGTAAACATAACATAAAAACATTATTTCAATGCATGCATGCCTTACTTTCATGTGTGACATTCAACTAAAAAATTGACATTTTTCCATTTTTATGTTCTTTTTTTTCATTTATTGTGGTATTCACATTATAATGTGATGTACTTTGTGGGTTTTAATTCTAAAAGGAGTTAAAGTGAAATAAATGCCACTTATTTACTAGATTAAATAGAAACTACAATCATTTCTCACAAAAGAGTGGCATACATACAAAGACAATAAAACATTTCATTAATTTGATTAGAATTGGCAAAAATACATAAATAAATTCAATTCGATTCAAAAATACTTTTTGATCCCAAAGCAGAAGTTAAATATTGTTCTAACTCATATTAATTCAAATTCGTTAGATGGTGATGGCTGTTGGCAGGTTAGATCTCCTGTAGCAGTCTGTATTACAGCAAATTTGAAGAAGCTTCTGACTAAAACACTTGATTTGTGAAACAGTCTAATGAATGGTATGGGCTAAATCAGATATTTCAATAACATAGTGGCTTTTCATTCATTTAACTAAAACATTTTTAACTCAATTTCTGCTTCAAACAAGACTTTTCTTCTCTTCTCCACCAGCCAAAAACAATAAATAAAATCCACAAGAAACATTATTGAGATGCTGTTCAACAAAAAACAAGCTCATGTTTCCTGAAATGTGTTAATACTGTCCTCTGTGGCCCTCTAATGGTCAACCCCATGAACCACAGGCAGATTAAAGGTCTGATCGTGTCCCACCTGTGAACATCGATGGTCTCCAGCAGACGGAAAGCCACCCAGGCCCAGAGGAAGAACACGTGGTTACAGAAGATCATGATGCCGATGAAGAAGCCGGCACCTAGGATGATGGTCTCCAGAGGGTGGGCGTACTCCGCCTGCATGCCGAACGGAGCCTGGGACACGGCGGAGGACGCGTCACGTCACATTTAATAAGTAACTCTTCAGTAAAGACTGTGTGTTTGTTTATCGGCCCGGCTGCTTGGCTCACCGTGAACTCGTGGTGGACTTTGTGGATGTATTTGTAGATGCGCCTGTGGTGCAGTATGCGGTGGAGGAAGTAGTGCCAGGTGTCCTCGACAACAGCGCAGCCGAAGCACCGAGCCAGAAGAGACGTCCTGAGAGACAGCAGAGTACGAGGGGAGTGGTTAGACAAAAACCCAGTGACTCACCTGACAGACCAGTGACAAACTACAGCACGTCCAATAAATCTGATCACCACAGTTCAGTCAATTCAGATTCAATTTTGAAAAATCCTAAACTGTTTTTACCCTAGAATGTGCCTGGTCCATAAGGACACATCTTTTCAGTCTAATTCTATGGTTTGTGCTATGAGCACATTCATGCTTTATTATTTATTTTACACTATATTTAGAGTCCTATTTGTGCTTTCGGATCCTTTTGAAGGAAGGTTTGTTGAAGTTTATTATTACATGTTTGACCAATGTGGTCAAGTTATAGTTTTTGTCAGTTTTACTTCTTTATTATTTATTTTCCATTGGCTGTTCTACTCCTAATTGCACTGACTGAACAAATTAAGCTGTAGTGTTTTTACATATTTGACCAAGCTTGTGAAGTATTTAAGTGTGCTGTACTGGTGCAGAGTTATCAAATCAATTTTTAACTCAGCACATAAATGTCTATATTAAAAAAAATAAGGAGCATTTTAAGTCATTGATTGCAGCACTTTTACTCTGTATCAAATCGGTATCAGCCATTACCAAACATCCAATATCTGTATAGGTATTGGAAGGGAAAATAGTGGATTGATGCAACCCTACAAAACATACATTTAAAAATTGACTTCATAATAAATTATACCTTTCAATCTTAAAAGTATAGTGAAACTAATTTGTTACACTCAGTTGTTGCATAAATAATCATAGTGTATGGGGGAATTTTTCTGACATAATCCAAGAGCACACATTTCAGTCTGGAAGCAGGATTTCATGTTTTTTGTTCTCAAAACATTTAATACTTTTGCCTACATTTTCATTTTGAAAGCAGGACTTCATGTACTTCTTCTCAAAACTTGCAATGCTTGAACTCAAAACTTCTCCTCGCACTCAGACATAGCCTCTGCTTGGACTCTGCTCGCTTACAAAACATTTTCTGCTTGCTTCTGGAACAAAAATGCACCGTAGCCTGGCAATGTCTCAGCCAATAGAATTAAAGTGTTGTACAGGGCGCGTTTGTTTCCTTCTAGCGGGTGTGCCTGTGAGGCTACTATCGATGGTGGCAACCTGCGCCAACGCAGGATGTAGGGAGTTGGTAGGGTGAACAAACTCCTGCCTAAGATCTGTTAGCAACCAGTAGTACACTGCTGGCAGAAAGCTGACATCGTTGTTTCACCCTACATCCAGATTTTGTAAACATGCATGAAGGAATCAAGAAAAGACTCCAGGAGTTTTTGATGAAGAAATAATATTACAACACAATGTAAAGCTCAAAAAAGTCAATTTTACATAATACTGCCTTTTTAATATTTAACTATTTAACAAACTAACAAATATGATGCAACTAATTAATATCAAATGGTTTATGTGGGAGGTTGTTGTAAAGTAGTTCTCACTGACCAGCGGGGCATGGAGTCCCAGTCGTATGGGATGCTGAAGAACTCTGTGAAGTAGTATGTTCCACAGATTAAAGGAAACTGGATGAAAAAGTGGTTGAACAGCAGCATTTTAAAACACGTCCACTGCTTCTCCCACGTCTCCGGCTTGTCCTGCAACGAACACACACTTCTGTCACAGTGCACAGAGTGACATATCAAAACCTAAAACCACATCAAGCAGTGTAGAACAAACACCGACCTGCTGGATTTTGTATTTCTGCATGAAGGGCAAGAATTGGAAGAGGAAGCCAGGCAGGCAGAACAGGAAGTAGATGAACTCGTGGACGATGAGCGACCCCCAGGTGGCGATCTGGAACTTGGTGTAGTTGTCCAGCATGTAACCCCAGGCATGCCTCAGGGAGGGCTGCAGGGGGTTCTCTGGCAGCACAGCATCTACATACTCCACTGCCAGGAAAGCAGAGCTCAGGATGTCTGACGTCCCGTTTGCCGCCATGATGTGAGGATGCAGTCTGGAGGAAGAGACCAACACGCTTAGACGTAGTAATTACACTGTAGCTATACGTCAAAAGCAGAAATCAGTGTAACTACACTGTTTCAGAGATATCATTTATCAGTATGTGTCACTTTACTTCAAGTCTATTTGCTATATGTACAGCACTGGGCCTTCATTTCTAGACTTTCATGGTTTTTCTTTGGACTTTGGCTACTTTTTCAATTATTTTCTGTCTCATCCCATTTTCAGAGAGCTACTTTTGTTTCTTAAGTTGTTAAACTCTGACAACTTAAGAATCACTCAGCCATTAAAAAACAGCTGCTAAACTGAGCCGGCTCTGTGCCTGTATCGGTGAAGCTGGAACTCTCCCAAGAACTTTATTCCCAGAAGACACAAAGGTCATATTTATTTCTGTTGATTAAGCAGAAATTACTATAATCATCAAAATAACACATACTGTTACCAATTTAAAGACAGACTAGAAGTCATTTTGTGGTCGGAATCAGACCTTTGATCAGTTTTGAGTGGTGATTGGCTGGTTGGAAACGAAACAACAGACACGGCATAAAGCAGGTCTCCTGTAACAACACTCTTCACTGCAGATGCCATTACTGAGGGTAGGAGACTCAGTTGGCTATGTTTACTGTCAGTGAGCTACTGATAGTCAAGTTTGCAAATAGGAAGAAGAAAGTATTTATGTTTCTCTTATGAAATGTCCAAAATTACATTTTAAAACACACACAGACGAACCATTCAAAATTTCAGGCACTGACTAACAAAACATTAAATTACAATAACAGTTTGAATTAAACTGCTGGTTTAAGGCGTTTTCACTCTTCAAGCCTCAAGAAAGTGAGAGAGAAATGCAGAATATAACAGACATGAAAGATTTTCTTTTAATCTTTTTTTGTCTTTATCCTCATAAATTGGATTGTTCTGTTTTGCTACAATGTCATTTTATAATGAAAAACTATTTATCATTTACATTTATTTATTATTTATTCGTCTAATGACTTATGTTATGTAGACGTTATTCTGACCATTTCTGGTATGTTTCTAAAGTCACTCTGTGTGCTTCTGAACTTTGTTTTTAGAACACTCTGAATTTTGACCACTATAAAGATTCCAGCGTTTTGGAAGCAAAATGTTCAAAACTAAGGCGACACACTTTTTTGGTCACGACACAAAATAGAATTGGTTTCTTATCTTTACCAATTTAAATTAAGCAAATAAGGTGTCGAGTTTTACAAAATAAAGATTCATTTGCTGCGTCTACCAAACTTCATACCACATATCTGCAAATACGTACATTAGACAGCCTACTTTAGACTATTATTTGTTACGGTGTTTAAAATCCTTCAAAAACCTTAATTAAATCAAGACCAACTAAAGGATATATCAAAACTCAAGCAACAATAACATATTTAGCCTTATTAGAGATAAAAAGTTACTTACACCACACCGTTAGCCCAATATGCATCATATTAGCTAAAATCCCACGTAAATATCGAAACAACATAATGAACCTTTTTAACTTAACAAAACATGTTTTAATAACTTTTAAATCCGCCGTTTCCCCTGCAGAACTGAACAACTTGACAGCCTTACCTTACCGCAGCGCGTCCGTCTACCTGAGGAAGAGGCGGACTGCCGGGTCAAGTACAGTAATATTGGAAAATTCTATTGGCCGACACAAGAGGAGAGTGACGTCATGACCAGAGCGACTTCAATGATTGGTTTGCGGAATGGAGTGATGATAGTGAGACTGGAGGGCTCTACAGTGAAAGCCAATAGGAGCCCGGATCCGTTTTCATAAGTCCAGCAGGCTGGATGAGGGTAGAAATGGGGTGGTGGAGGTGTCTGCCCTGAGAACTTTAGTCACATTTAGTTTTTTTATATATAATGTTTGGCTTTAGTTTGTTTTTCCAATATTGCTACGTGCTCCTCCAGACTTAAAGGCTCAGCTGAATAAAACGTGGGACAAATACAATGCAAGTCTAAGGAAGAATTGTTTACCACCATAAATAAGTTAATTACAACTGTACATTGTTATGAAAATAAAATACTTGTACAACAATTAAAACTCGAGTTAAATAGATGTGCATAAGAATAATTAATTTAACCTTAAATTACATGCCAACATTTTTTAGTCTTTTATTATTTTTTTTTTATTTTGCACAGGAAATGTAAATAAAATCAGACTACCAGGAGAAATAACGCACATGTACAACAAGCAAACTCACAAGAATCACACGACACGTGTAATTTAAATGTTTTACTGATTTGGCAAAGTTTTAAAAACAGATTATTAGCATTTCACAGCTTTAAATACAAGAAGCATATTTATTAATGATAATATAAAACATGTAATAAAACATTTTCAGAGTTATAAGTCTACATGACATTCATCAATACACTGACGAGAAACAGCGATACCACTTTCACTTTTTCAGAGCGACTCTGACAATAGCAGGAGATGAAAGAGACAGAGGAGAGAGAAACTCAGGAGGAGGTTTGGTCACTTTCCAGAAAGAGAGAAGAGATCAGAAACACGGAGCCATAAAAAGAGACAGAAAAGAGGAGACATTAAAATTGGCACATTCATATTACGTCAGGGTGTGCAGTAGTTATAAACGTCATTACACCAAAGGAAAGGAGGAAACTGGTGAACAGATTAGAGACAGAGTCAATGCATTGAGTTCAGTCTGCTGCTGCTTTCATTAGTGTTTCCAACCACGGCAAATATGGCCACTAGTTAACAAGACTCCACTCTCTCTTCCTGACAAAATTAAAGTCTCCTATCTCAACAAAAACAAAAATGTACATAATCAAGTTCTCGAGTGCTTTTTAACATTCTGTTATTCTGCCTCAACACTAGCTAATACACCGTCCTAAAGCCATGATTTGTTTATCTCAGAATAGCGGCTGTCCTGGTTCTGGTACCGAAGCTACAAAACAAACATGGAGGACTCTGACATTCAGGCACTCGTCGGGGCCTCGCTGCAACACTGGGATAGCTAAGAAGTCAGACAAAGTGTGTTCATGCAGCGTTGAAAAAAGGCCTCACCACACGGACTCTCTGATGCAAACAAAAACATGCTTACATGTGCGAGCAATGGAGCACCTTAATATGCAAGCACACCAGCTTCCTCCCCAGAGGAATAAAAACAGAAATGCTCCTCCTCTCCTTCGCTTCCCCACAGATCTGACAGGTGGTCTCTCTCTCTCGCTTCTGGTTTGTGTTAAAATTAACTAGTGTTAAAGTAACTTTGCAGTCATAGCAGCTTCATATCAGTAGCGTTTCGATGGCACTGCAGTGATCCAGGTGGTGCTTCCAACCTGACTGTCCCCTCCGCTGCCGCAGTCCCGCCGGGAGCCAAATTAAACGCAGGTTCGATGCCCCTCGTCCGCTGCGGCGCCTCCCAATGTAAGTGCAAGAACCTTCATCATTCCCAGCATCAACATCTTCGTCGGTGGCTGTGCTAATGCTGCCCATCTCCGTATTGGCATCGAAGACAGATCCAAGATCGGTGTTCAGCAGAATGCGTTCCGCTTTTTAATCAGAGGCAGGAGTCAGGAGCAGTCATAAGGGCTTGTCAATCACCGTCACACCTGCAACAGGGAGGAAGTAGAGCTGCATTACTGCTGCCATGTCACACACATAGGTCATATAAAATGAAAGTCCTTTAGATGTTCAGAAAACTGTACATAACATGGGAACATTTCAAAACAAGAGCTAGCACTGCTAAATATTTAGGATTCATCAGATAAGCAATATTTAAGGGGTTTTCCAGGCACCTACTGCAATTTTATAGCACAATCAGGTACTTATATTACCTTCTGCTGTACATATCAAATATGACTGAAAAGAATTTTGACTTAAACGCCTTGCCTTTCTGCCTCTTTAAGAAGCTCCTGCTCTCTCTGAAACTCCGCATTCAGGAAGTCACCACAACATCACTCCTCTATTAGCCCTTTAACAATGTTTTTATCAGCGTTGCACTGAGAAGTCGCTCCTATAATGAGCTCAGCAGATGTGCAGTTCCACCAGTGGTTTGCTAATTGCCACTGGCTAGTCTGAAGGAGAGGGGGAGTCTCAGAAGGTTGGAAACTGTGCCTCAAAGGAGGCGCTAGGTCCACCCGGGTGTTTTGGAGCTGACTGGTTGTAATGGGAGATTAAACGACTTCTCAAACGTGCATGAAAGACATAATGTTATGCAACATAACAAAATGTAACATATCAGGTTATGTTACATCATGTTACATAACATGATGTAAAGCTCAAACAAGAGGCAGTATTCTACACAATACTGCCACTTTAAGGAATATTAATTTTCCTGCCTTTGTCACCACTCTTTTGAGCAGAGGATGGAAGACGTAGGGTCAGGCATTTGTTGTATCATCTATCATTTATTGTGACAAATTTATCACAATACAATTTTGATTTATCCTTGCCCCACTAAATTCCAATTGATGAAGTTTAAAAACCCCTAAAACTGTCCATATTGTCAAAATTGTTAGTTTTGCTTTTTTTCTCCACTGTTTGTTCAATAAAGGCATATCAATATGATCAATATGATTAATGCAGTTACTATATTCATGTGACAGGTTTACTAAAGGAGTTATGATTGTTGTGCCATGCAGTCACAGGAATACCTAAAAAAAAAAAAAAAAAAAAAAAAAAAAAAAAAAAAAAAAAAAAAAAAAAAAAAAATTTTATTTTCTTTTTTTTTTTTTTAAAAAAA